CAGAACAAATAATTTTGATTCCAAAATAGCGTTACTTTTATCGTACGATTTATACATTTATCTATACAGATAAGTTTATCGTATGTCAACGCAAACATTATAATTTTATATGCAGTATTATCTATCATACATATCGCATGAAGCATTCTTTTTAACGGAGCATATAAAATATTTTACATTTTAAGCATATAAAATATTTTAAATTATTTTAATGTTTTGACAAAAAATTTGTATGGCAAATTTACTTAAATCAATTATATCTTAACTTGATAAATGGTTTACTAACTATTCATTATCTGTTACACATGCAACGACGTATAGCGGACAATACTAAAATGTTTTCAAAATTATTTCAGATATAACTAAAGAGCAGCTTCAAAAAATCGATTCCGATTTCAAGAACATCATAATGCCCAGAACGTTATCTACATTGCCAATTACAGTCGAAGAATTACGCTCTTTGTATTTTGGTGACAAAGCAGTGTCAGAGAAAACTCTAAAAAATTGTGTTGATTTTATGGGCGATGAATATTTCACTCGTGATATAATGGAAGTAGTGGATATTCAGACAAAGTTGAAAAATGATAAGAAAGCAACGTATCTGTATCAATATTCATACGAGAGCGAAACTTCTCCAATGAGAAAAATATTTGATATTAACTTCCCAGGTATTGTCACGAATTAATTAAAAATCTTAAAGATTGACTTTTAATTTTCTGGAGGACATGGAAAGAACGATTTTGCTGAAAAGTAAAAAAATTTGAATCTGAAAATAACACTAGTTTACAACAAAAAATTATTTTAAAACCAACTAGTATTTCTTGTAGATTTTTGAAAATTATGCCGCAAACCAAAAAATCTAGCATATCAGGTTTCTATAATAATTGAGATATAATGTCCAAAAAATAACTTTTATCGTGATATTTGACATTTTTTTTTTTTTAAAACGGTATTTTGAAATTCCGATAAAAAGTCATGAATGTATAGTTCATCCTCTATAAAATGCATATAACTTAACTTATTCATAAAACATAAAAAATAAGATATTAAAATAGAAAAATTTGCATTAAAAAAAAATACATCAAATCAATACATTCGAAATTACTAATCGGAATTTCAAGATAGCGTTAACGTTCTTTACAATAAAATTCAAATATCGAAAAAGCCACTTTTAGACAATAAACCTGAATTATGTTAAAAACCTGACGTGCTGGAAAAATGTAGCTTACGGCATTGTTATCAGCATCTAAAAATCTATAAGAAACACGTAGTCCGATTTAAAGTAATAAAAAAGAAACATTTTTGTAAACTAGTGTAATTTCTTTGGACCATCAAAATAATTTTGATTGTTGGAAACTCAAAAATGATAAGCATTACTGTAAAATGTTATAAATTTCTAACAATCAGTTTGACTTTAGAACAAAATTATTTTGATGGTTTAACAAAAAATATTTCCAGATCTATATTTCAGGAAAAATGTTTAGATTCTTCAGCAAATTCGATCTTTTTGTATAAAAACGTTAATATCAGAACAGTAACATAAAATGATTCTTTATTATTGTATATGATTTTAAGAACATAAAATGAATTCTGTTTTATAGTATTTAATTTAGAAAATAAATTGTCTTTCTAAATATTTCAAAAAGATTAATTTATCGGTTTAATTGACAGTTGAATGACGAAATATTTTATAGGTGCGTCTCATGACGAGGATCTAGCGTATTTATTTTATCCTAATTTGATAAAAGATCTCGGCATGTCACCACCTGCAATTGATTCGGAAGACTACAAAATGATGAATTGCCTAACGCAAATGTGGACGGATTTTGCTAAAACAGGGTACGAGAAATTTAATTTCTCCTTTTCAAACTTTAGCCATATCTTTTTAATCAGGACATTTCAATTTT